GGGTGCATATACATTTATAAATGTTATAGCTTCTTGTTGCATCGACTCCTCTATCATTATGTAATGCCTTTCTTTGTCTTTTATTATAGTCTTGTTTTAAAGTCTATTTTGTCTGATATAAGAATAGCTACTCCAGTTTTCTTTTCATTTCACTTGCATGGAATATCTTTTTCTATCCCTTCACTTTCAGTCAGCGTGTGTCCTTACTTCTGAAATGAGCTTCTTGTAGGCAGCATATAGATGAGTGTTTTTTTCTTTTAATCCATTAAGCCACTCTCTGTCTTTTGATTGGTGAATTTAGCCCATTTAAAGTAATTATTGGTAAGTATGTAATAACTGCCATTTTGTGAATTGTTTTCTAGCTGTTTTTGTAGTTCTTCTCTGTTCCTTTCTTTTCTCATTTCCCTTAGGTTTTGGCGGCTTTCTTTAGAGCTATATATAGATTCCTTTCTCATTTTCTTTTGTGTATTTACCGTGAGTTTTTTGCTTGTGGTTACCATGAGGATTACATATGCCATCCTAGGTAAGCCGCAGTCTGTTTTAAGTTCGTAGCAACTTAAATTTGAACACAGTCCAAAGCTTTGTCTTTCTACTCCCCCTCCACACATTTTATACTTTGATGACAAGTACTACATCTTTTTATTTTATGTATCCCTTAACAAACTATTGTAATTTTAGTTAATTTTTAACATTTTTGCCTTTTAACCTTCAAGCTTGCTTTATAATTGATTTTTCTAAATAAACAAATTTATTTATTTATTTATCTATCTATTTATTTATTTTTGGCTGCGTTGGGTCTTCGTTGCTGCACGCAGGCTTTCTCTAGTTGTGGCGAGCGGGGTCTACTCTTCGTTGCGGTGCATGGGCTTCCCATTGTGGTGGCTTCTCTTTGTTGCAGAGCACGGGCCCTAGAGCGTGCGGGCTTCAGTAGTTGTGGCACATGGGCTCAGCAGTTGTGGCTCACAGGCTCTAGAGCACAGGCTCAGTAGTTGTGGGGCACAGACTTAGTTGCTCCATGACATGTGGAATCTTCCCAGATCAGGGCTTGAACCCATGTCCCCTGCATTGGCGGGCAGATTCTTAACCACTGCACCACCAGGGAAGTTGTGCTTTATAACTAATTGATCCACTACTTTTATTATATATTTACCTTTGTCATTAAGATTTTTACATTTGTATGTTTTCATATTATTAATTAGTGTCATTTACTTTCAGTTTAAAAGAGTCACTTTAACATTTTTTGTAGGGCCAGTTTAGTGGTGATAAACTCCTTCAGCTTTTGCTTACCTGGGAAACTCTTAATCTCTCCTTCAATTCTGAATGATAAACTCGCTGGGCAGAGAATTCTCACTGGAAGTTTTTTTCTTTCAGCATTTGGAATATGTCATGCCGTTCCCTTCTGGCCTGTAAAGTTTATGCTGAAAAGAAATCTGCTGACAGCCTTAAAGGGATTTCTTTGTATGTCACAAGTTGCTTTTCTCTTGCTGCTTTTAGGATTCTCTTTTTATCCTTAACTTTTACCATTTTAATTATAATGTGTCTTGGTGGGTGTCTCTTTGGGTTCATCTTATTCAGAACTCTCTGGGCTTCCTGGATGTCTATTTCCTTCCCCAGGGAAATTTTCAGCCACTATTCCTTCAAATAATTTTTCTTGCCCTTTCTCTCTTCTCCTTCTGGGAGCCTCTAATATGAATGTTATTCTGCTTGATGTCCCAAAGATCCCTTAAAATATCTTTATTTTTCTAAAATTCTTTTTTCATTATGCTGCTCTAAGTGAGTTCCATTGCTTTGTCTTCCAGCTTGCTGATTTGTTTTTCTACCTCATCCAATCTGCTGCTGAAATTGATACTTTCTTATATTTTCTATCTCTGTGTTGTTCTCGCCATGTTTGTCCATTCTTCTCCCAAGTTCTATGAGCATCATTTGACCATTATTTTGAGCTTTTTATCAGGTAGATTGATGATCTCTGTTTTGTTTAGCTCTTTTTCTGTGGTTCTGTCTTGTTCTTTTGATAGGAATATATTCCTCTGTTTCCTCATTTTGCCTAATTTTCTGTGTTTGTCTCTATATATTAAGTAAATCAGCTACCTCTCTTGGTCTTGAAGGAGTGGCCTTATGTAGGACATGTCCTGTGGGGCTCAGAAATGCAATCATGCCTGGCCACCAGAGCCAGGTCCTCAAGCAGTGTCCCCTTATGGGTTGCATGCACCCTCTTGTTGTGGCAGGGTCGTGGATGCTGCTGCCATGCGTTGGTGGGCAGGGCTGGCCCCTGGAAAGACTGCAATGCTGGCCACAATGGCTGATGGGTTCTAGTGGGAAGGGTTATCACATAGTCAGCTGTGAGGCCTGGCTGAGGTGCAGGGGTGGGTGGGGCTCTAAGTGGGGTGTGCCGACTGGTGCTAGCAGACTAGAGGGAGAATTCCAAAATGGCACCCACCAGCATTGGAATCAGCAAGGTAGCCTGAGACTGGGAAAATGGCTCCCTCCAGTTTCTCAGTCCCCAGGGAGCATCCCAACTCATTCCTGCCTCTCCAGAAGATGCTTCAAGATTAGTAGGTGGGTCCCATTCATCTATGGTCCATGCACTTTTCAGTCTGGTGTTTTTGTGCTGGTTTTCAGGTGGAGTGAGTGCGAGTGTGCCCTTTAAAAGCTAGCTTTCCATTCTCTGCAGTTCTATAGTTTTGAGTGTATTCCCCATTGGTTTCCAAAGCCAGATGTTTTGGGGCCTCATCTCTCTTGTGCAGGATCTAAGGACTGGGGTGCCTGATGTGAAGCTCAAATCCCTCAATCCCCAGGGAAAGTAACTGTACCTGTGTAATCCTTCCCATCTGTGGACTGTCACACCTGGGGTGTGGTTATTTTCCTTGATGTGATCATCTCTCTGCCTCTCTTATCTGCCTTGATGCCGCCCTTTTACCCTTTCTTGTGGAGACTCTGTTCATCCAGTTTTCAGGTCCTTTTCAGAGGGAATTAGTCTACATGTAGCTGTAGTTTTGTCGTGTCCACGCGAGGAGCTGAGTTCAGGATCTTCCTATGCCACCATCTCGAAACTCCCGTCTCACCCTGCTTTCTTACCTCACATTTTCTTTATCTGTAAAATGGGACTGGTATGAGGATTAAATGAACCCGTTTGAGTAGTGCGCCCAAATGACAGCCTGGCTTACTGCAAACATGCCATGCATCTAGCCATTGCAGCTCCTTCTTTCCATCATTTCTCCCACACTGCAGAAGACCCACCATGAGTCAGGCACCTGGGTCCTGGGGACCCCAACACAAAGAAAACGCAGTCCCCGCCCCCCAAAGAGCTTCTCGGTTCTGTTCTCCCACTGTGCTCTCCTCCGTGATACCCAGTCTCAGGGTTAAGTCTTGGTGGGGGTGGGCAGCAGAATGTGTAAGGCTGGGGAGCCAGAAGGGGAAGCCCTGCTTGGGAGAAGGGAGCCAGCCACTCACCATGGAAAGGCACTCAAAGAGTCTGAGGGACTTGCTCTGCCCTAAGTAACATCAAGGGTCTGAAAGAGGCCACAAACGCTTCACATTTCTATGTGTAAACTCTGGCTAAATGCAGGCCTTTGGGGTCTGTCCAGTAGACAGTCATAGTGCAGATGCTAACGTAATTCACTAAAAATATATACATTGGCTTCACATACAGATACACCAAGAGGCAGAGTCACAGAATGGGGATCATGATGATGATGATGATGATAACAACAACAATAATAATAATAAATAGCAGCTGCTAACACCTGTTGGGTGCGCTTATGCCCCAGGCACAGTGCCAAAGGCTGCACACGTAGGATCTCATTTGATCCTCCCAGCCCCTCGTGAGTTGGATATTACTGGTGTCCTTATAAACAAGGAAACTGAGGCTCAGGGGGATTTCAGAACTTGCCCACAGTGTGGGTTGGCAGTGGGGAGCCAGGATACATGCCCAGTCACTTTGACTCCAGGGCTTCTGCTCCTGTGTGGTAGGGGGTGGGGATAAACTCAGAGGATCTAGAGGTGAGCCTTGCCTTGGTAGGTCCAAGAGCTCTGAGGACAATAAAGGATGTAGAAGCTAGTGTTGAAATCATGGCCACCACTTCTGGAGCACTTTCCACATGCCAGGCTCTGGTCAATATTTTGAAGCTATCAACTCATTCATTTTTCACAACACTATGGGGCGTGGGGGTTCATTCCCATTTCACAGATGAAGATGCTGAGGCTCAGAAAGTGGAAATGCCCAGCTCTATAGGACCCAGTCTAGAGGTCCCAGACCTATAAGTAGCAGAGCTTGAGTTCAAATGGTTTGACTCCTTGTTGCTATGCTACACTCCATCCCAGTAGCCAAATCTGAGAGCAAATATTCAGAAACCCAGCCGTTGGCACCTCCTTTCAGATCTCTTAGAGATAATCTACTGCAAAGTTCACAAAGCAGGTGAATCCTGCTAGCAGATGTATAGATACATTTTTTGACCCACACAGTGGTTTAAAAATAATCTCCATCAGTTGCCAATGTTGAAAAACAAGAATATTCTACAATTTTGATTTCTCTTGATAAAAGGAAAAGGGAGATCTGGTCTTGTATTCCTGAATACCATAGTCCCCACCGTTCCCTATAGTCCTTCCAACCCCCAGGCAAAAACTGATTGCTATTTTTCATCACACTTGTATTATTTTTCTAATGGTATGGTTAAAAAGAAGTGAAGTTCTTAGAGACCAACGTCTCTATCGGAGGTGGGATAACAGTCTAGATTGGAAAAGCCATGTTTTGCAAGAAAAATGGATAAAGGAACATATCTTGGAGGTAATGACAAATATATGCAACGTGTGCCTTGCCCATTTCACTCACTGCTGCCACCCCTGTGGCCCCTGAGAAAGGGAATTTGTGACCCTTAGTTGAGAAGAACCCACTTGCTTTGAAGATGAGGAAACTGAGGTCCAGGGAGCAAAATGGCTTCATGCCAATCAGTGGCCCTGGCTCAGGTGAGATGGCCCCGAGTCAGACTGCTTCCCAAGCTTACCTCTGCTGTCTGGCTGGCCATCACCATGACTGTTACTGAGGGCCTCCTTCCTCAGGCCCCTCCTCCCACTAGCAGGGTGCTCCCTGTGGGAAGGCTGGTTAAAGATGTCGAAGTCATCACCGCAGACTCTGGGGGTTGCTCTCTGAGCTCTCTCGCTGGCGATGACATTCCAGCTGCTTGCCCGCCCTTGCTCACGCCTGGGGTCTTTATCTCCGGCCTCGGTCTCTCCAGGCCCCTCACGGACGATATCCTCTGACGGAAGCCTGCCTCTCCAGTCCAGCGGCTTCTCCGGACTCAGCCAGAGGGGTTTTGACTTCGGGCCTCCCTGCTTCCTGCCTTTCCCTGCGGGAGAAGGTTGTAACCAGGATGGGGTTTTCCCTGGAGGCTCAGAGACTTTTCTGCCCATAACGTTTTCCAGCTGTTGGATCAGCGAGAGCTCTTGATCAAGAGGAGGAGGGCATTCCGCGGGGGAGGAGTGGGGAGGGACACTGGGCATGCCACCTGGCGAGGATGGTGCGGCTAAAAAGCTGCACTCTTCCTCTAACTTGGACAAATTGTCTTTCATGCAGTCAGGAGAATTCATCCTTCCACCAAATAAATGTCCTTGTGAAGATGCCTTCACATCCTCTGCTGCTCCAGCTGGCTGCGAGTAACTGGCACCGAGCTGCTTGTCCCCATCGGTGCTGTTCCTCTTGCGGGCATCTTTGCTTTCTTCTGAGTGGGCAACAATGCTGTTTTCCATTCTCTCATTTTGCAGGCCCACCAGGATGCTCTGTGGGGCCTCGTCACCTCCTTTGTCTAAGTTGCCATCAAAGATGAGTTTTTTGTTGACACAAAGCTTCACGTTTTTGGCCCCAATGTCAAGATCCTGAAAACACAAAATTTCACAAAATGAAGATGCGTGGCATGGGACTGATGTATCAGATTTTGAAAGGAGCACATGAAAAAGACAAATGTGGGACGCTGGAAACGTGAGCTTTCTGAGACTACAGCACTGGGGCTGTTAAATCAGACTCCTTTTCATTTCGGTGCAAAGGGTTACATATGTTATAAATCAAAGGACTTTCACAAAGAGGCGGCCTCCATCACCATCTTCATCATCATTACCTCCTGCTGGGACACAGGTAACAGCCTGCTAATTGGTCTCCCTGCTTCCTGTCTCTTGATCCTGCGGCCTTAGTTTTCTACAAGAGCAGATCTGGCCCAGTCACATCCCTTTGTGAAATTCTTCATGTTTTTTTTCACTGCCTATAGCAGAGGGTTCTTTAAAGTATGGTTCCTGGGCCTCCTGCGTCAGAAAAGCTTGGCAGGCACATAAAATGCAGATGCCCTAGGTTTCATGGGTGCCATATTTTGGGGGCCCTGAGAGCAGAGCCTGAGATAAGGGTTTGAGTGCAGGTAGCTTATCAGCAGGTGCTCCTAAGAGGGAGAGTCAGGTAGGGCAGGTGAAAACCCAAAAAGGTTTTGGGGCTGGTCACTGCTGTGGGGAACTGGGGCTCCATCCACCTGGGATACTGTGAGGGACCCGCAGAATGCATCTCAGAAGTGTCCCTCCAAAGGCGGGAGGCTGAGTGTTTATCCACTGACTCCCTTCCCTGCTGTTGATGGCTGCCCCTGGGGACACTGACTCCCCTCCATGACCACAGGCTAGGCCCTCTAGAGGCTTCGGCAAAAGGACCCAAACAGAAAGGCTTAGAGGCTGGAAGCGCTGGAAGTGGTGCCCAGTCAGCACGCCCGGGACTGTCCCAACGCAGCTGTGGCCACAAGTGGAGGGGAGCCCAGAGGATGCAGTGTGGGCGCTGCACTTGTGTGGAGAACACCAGACCCATGAGATGAATTCCAAACCCCTCAGCATGACATACAGTAACCTTCATAAAAGGGTCCCTGATAGCCTTCTGTCTCCTCCTCTCCCAGCACATGTGCCCCGTATCAGGCAGGTGTTCAACGCTTCTTGGGTCATACTTAAAATTAGGGGGCTTCCCTGGTGGCGCAGTGGTTAAGAATCCGCCTGCCAATGCAGGGGACACGGGTTCGAGCCCTGGTCCAGGAAGATCCCACATGCCACGGAGCAACTAAGCCCGTGCACCACAACTACTGAGCTCGCATGCCACAACTACTGAAGCCTGTGCGCCTAGAGCCCATGCTCCGCAACAAGAGAAGCCACTGCAATGAGAAGCCCTTGCACCACAATGAAGAGTAGCCTCCGCTTGCTGCAACTGGAGAAAGCCCGCGCACAGCAAAGAAGACCCAATGCAGCCAAAAAAAGAGAAAAGGAAAAAAAAGAAAAGAAAAAAATATCAAATAACACCTCCTCCTGCTACTGCCTTATTTGGCCATACCTCTTTACACAAAAACATTTTTTTTTTTTTTTTTTTTTTTTTTTTTGCGGT